CCCTGGCGCCGCCACTGAACGTGCGTGTAACAACCGTTGTATCAGCAAGGCATAATTACTACGGGACTAAGTATGTGAAATACGATAAAAAGAACTAAGAAAACAAGAAAATAAACTACAACAATGAAACGAAAAAAAAACCCCAAAAACAACACACCTTGATTGTCACTTGAACGGATATTAAAAAGAAATATTTCATGTACAAAATCAAATGATTTTTTCGTTTCGTTAAATGCATGAGTTGAATTCTCCAATTTAGATAAAGTGGTATTTGCTTTAGAGTGAGGCTCAGTTATGACCATTTCCGGCCTTCTTCCTTGGCGGATATTATTCATTGTTTTGATTCTTGTCGAGACTAATGTAAGTAGGTGATTTGTATGAACTGTTTTCTATAAGTGATACAGCAATAACTACAATCTGGGAGCTCTATTAAGTTACCGGATGGTGTAAATGATGTATTGACAGCTTGGTAATAGCGACTGATATCGAGAATAAACAACTATACATAAACCATATAATCAATGCAACAAGAACAAACAAGCAGATAAATTATATTAAAGCGGACTGCTTATAGTTTCAAATATTGGACATGGTACAGAAATATTAGATCGTGCAGAAAACTCAGGTCTATATTATGTTAATACAAAAGAGATGTATTAGAAACAAACGATTTGTTAAACTCTGAAATGCTTTGACTAAGCCACTAGACAGTCTGGTACTACCTTGCTAGAAATGACAGCAAACGTGCATCAAACCATTTAAATGCATATTAAAGCCTGCGAGGAAGGGGGTGTGGGTAGTGGGTCTGATTGAGTGATCTAACGATACATGTGATTTCGGTCCCATCAAGGACTGTTTTACCGACGACAGTCTGATTTTTGTACGACTGCAATCTGCCCAGATTTTTCATCACAGCCGTTTAGTCGGGGATGGTCTGTCCACAAACAAGAGAGAGAGGGAGAGAGGGGGTAACATCCATTCCACACAAATTAGGTCATTTCGTGACCAACATAAGGTTCAAATTTTATTTCTTGTTAGGTACAAACGGAGAATCAGAACCACGCCGCCTGACTCAATGACAGACCTTATGATCGAACGCGCACGCGTTAACCATTCGGCCAGCCAACGACCTGTCCACAAGCGAATTCCCTGTTCACATGTTTATTTAGCGCGCACCCAAACTAAACATAGTTGCTTCTTTTAAAGAACGTATGGTTCTGCTTTGCAACCTTAAAGATACATTCCCGCGTACAAACTGGGTGATTTAATGGTATATACGGACTAAAAACATAATTTTGCTTCAAATCCTTCTCAAACATTGTAATTGCGAAGGAATGCCCTGCTATAAAAATTCGATCAAACCAGATTATGTTTACGTCACGTGACTTACCTCTCTTGGAAGTCAAATTCATTGCATACACAAGACGATGTTGTTTTTAATCGCTTACTATTTATTACAAATATCGAATCCTAATTAAATTCTCGGATTATCCACTACCCGCGTCTTTTTCCGTTATTTTTATCTCAGAAAGTGTTGTACGTCTAACTCTTCATAAATTTAAAGTTTATCAACTTGTACATCAAGCGCTCAATGTTCGCGTGTGACCTTTGACATCACGCGTGCAGAAATTCCTAATCGTCGGGCTGTCGATTATGGGAACCCTTACATTTTTGTCCTGTATACGCTTCATGAGTGTTTTTCAGTGAATCCAGTATTTTTCTAGTAAGATTGGATATCTCTACTTTCCATATATACCAAAATTGCCATAATTTTATTGGAAATAACCACCCGATAAATACTTTTCTGAGAACCCATCTTTAAAGTAAGACGCAAATTGCTCTAAAAGCACATATTGATGTACTCTGCTGAAGAAATTGGATATTTCCGAAGAACAGAAATTCAAATCGACGAGGTATTATACGGCAATTGTAATGTAGTCCCGATCTTGTAGCATTGGCCAAATCAAGCATTTCAGCACCAAGTGAAAATGGCTTAATGGTATACAATCATTTGAATTTTACTAGTATATTAATTTCCAATCTCTGAAAATATTGATATAAACATTAAGCTACGAAGAACTGCCATCGTTGTCGACGTGTTCTTCTCGTGGCATCGTTGTGGATTGATACACATACTGTACAAGTATTAATAAGGTTGAACGTATTTCACAAATGACGACCATGTAGCGACTTTAATAAGCTTGAACGTATTTCACATGTGTTCTGTTAAACAAACGTTATCTAAATATCCAGCAAAGTAAAATTGCACAAGATATCAAAAATCAGAACGACTAGCCTGGCACAAATGTTCAAGTGATGTAACCAGATCTGTTGTTAATTTTCAGTTTCTTGATGTTCAAATTAGTTAATTGATTAACTTTGTTTTTATTGTAATCAAATTTTTTATGCAATTCTATTGATTTGAACTAAAAACAACACCTCGATCAATATTAATCAAATCAACAGCATATATTTTGTTGGAGAAGTAAAACCCAAACACCGTAAAATTGTTTAATATTGACGGATAAGCCAGGTTAATTGACGGTGTCAATTCGTTTTTTTCTACCCAATTTAATTCTTTCACAAAGGTCTTAAATTGTGTGGAGAAAATACTAAGATGTAATTGGATCGATTAACCTAACTTTTTTCGTATCTAAGAAACGTTATGATCAGTTATCTACGGCTGTATTAGTTTTTTAAATGTCCCTGTTTGTATAATGTTGTCTCTTACTAGGTATTTATATGTTATATAAGTAGATTTATGAGTACAATGCGAAGAATGGGAAGTTTGATCGAACAGCTGCGTCCCCCCTTCTCTTCTTCTTATATCAATATTTAAACACAAGCGCTTCTGGTCTTTAAATACCTTAACAAGTGGGATCTGGGATTTACCAGCAAAACAAATGCTTAACAGGGAAATCCTGCAAACAACTGGCCGATTCTTACAAATCTTTAACCTTATAGTCCTGAGAATTTGTGGTGTAGGGCGGTGACCTGCTAATGTAACCCACCTAGTCGTTTTAGTGTGGCGAAAACTTCAAAATACCCTTGTGTACCCGTTGGCGTGCATGCAAAGGAACCTTTGACATGTGGAATTCGATGAAGGCTAGGTGGGAACGCAAGGTCATGTTACGCCAGTATACGATGCCGTGTTTATACACTTCAACTTATTATATGGGGTGAGGGGTGGAATTAGGATGGCCGAATGGTTAGCACGTGCGTGCTGTATCATAAGGCCTGTCATTGAGTCAGCTGGCGTGGTTTGGATTCCCCGGTTGTACGTGACAAGGAGTAGGGTCGCCTGTCCAACCTCGTGGGTTTTCTCTGGGTCACCCGTTTTCCTCCCACTGCTAAAGACCCCTACGCACAAGCGAATTATTGAAATAAAATTAAACTATACTCAGCCAAATTAAAAACTTGACACTCGGGATTTTTGGGACTAGATTTTTAATATTTGGTTTAAGGCAACTATTTAGTGTTATGTTGTGCACGGACGACCTTGACATCAACAGAAAGCAAGAATACGTCTCGCCGAAAGTCCTTGACATTGATAACGTTCGTGATGTCACAGTACCCCCCAGAATGAAATTCACAGACTTGGAGAACAATCTGAATAAAGTGTTTAGTAACGGTTGTGGCCTCCTCTAGCGTCTCGTACTGCCACACAACGTCTTCTCATGGATCTCAAAACATTAGTAAACACTACCCGAGGAAGACGTCGCCACTGCTCAGCAAGAGCATGTTGAAGGTCCTGCAACGTCAGTGGTGGATTCACTTGCTGACGAACACGTCGACCCAGTTCGTCCCAGATGTGTTCAATAGGAATAAGGTCGGGGCTAAGCGACGACCAATCCAGGACTTGGACACCGGCATTTCTTAAAAAATTCTGGGTAACAATTGCTGTATGAAGTCGAGCATTGTCTTGTTGAAACGTTAGTCCAGGCCCATGTCTCTGCATAAACGGAAGAAGAACAGGTTGCAAAATCTGATCCCTGTACTGGACAGCATTTAAGTTCCCTTGGACAACAACAAGAGGAGAACGTCCATGTGCACAAAAAGAACCCCAAACCATGACGCTGCCGCCACCAACTCGGTCAACTTCTCTGACGCATACTTGAGCGTAACGTTCACCTCGTCTGCGGTACACTCGGGCCCTGCCATCGGCAAATCTCAAAGTGAATCGAGATTCGTCACTAAAGACAACCGAAATTCCACTGTCTTTGTCTCTTTGAGTAAATCTTATGTGTCTTGTGGCCCACACAAGTCGGTTACGGCGATGAAGAGGTGTCAATATTGGTCCATTATAGGGCCTCAGAGCTCGAAGACCAGCAGCCTGCAAGCGATTTCGAACAGTTTGTGCAGTTACCCTTCCACCAAACATCTCTCTACTTGTGGAGGTTGCAGTGACAAATCTGTTTCTAAGATGACGTAATCGTATTGCTTGATCTTCCTGGAGTGACGCCCTTGGGCGGTCGGCAATAGTTCCAGTTTGAAGCACTCTCATTCTAAGATTAATTATTGTGTGGCGTGAACAATTAAAGGCTCTTGCACCAGTGACCACAGACTGACCAGCATAGAGCCCACCTATAGCACGTAGACGCTCTACATTTGAAAGGCGCGGCATTTTCTAACAAAGATGAAAATAACAATTTTAATTTGTTTTTCCAGTTCAAGTTACATGTGTGTGTTCAGTTTAAGCAAACTTGCACCGATTGACCTCACGAGTTTGTGTTTGCACGTGTTTTTCAGGTTTTACATCTTTATATGCTCAAAAGTCACGTGATCCACGTGACTTTACAATTTTATGAAATTAAAGGCTTCTTACTACTTACTATCGTTAGAAACACTTTAAAATTTATTTGACTTTATCAGAAAAAAAATTGTTGAAATTCATCAGTGTCAAGTTTTTAATTTGGCTGAGTATATATGTTAGTCCCGAAATGACCTAGTTTGTGTCGAGTGGACGTTAAACCCCATTCCCCTCTCTCTCTTATTATATAGAAAAAAGTCGGAGCCACGGTGGCTAAGTGGGTAAGACACTGACTCGTTAGTCTGGAGGTCGCGTGTTCGATCTCTGCATTGGACCAGAAAGTTCATCGGGATTTTCCGAAGTAGTTTCCCCTTGTCAGTGGTGCAGGACGGAGGGCCTGCCAAGGGCATCTTTCTAGTCGTTCGGGTGGGACGAAAAACCGAGGTCTCGTGTATACATTGGCGTGCACGGAAAAGATCCCCTGACAGTTGGAATTCGATATAGCACTCATAGCACACTATGTAGTGTATGCCCGTCTTCATTAGCCCAGTATAGGAGCAGAACAGTAGGACGTTAAACGCTTCATTTCATTTATATAGAAAATCAGCGTAATTTGACTTTCGAGGTGATCCATTTACTGAGTGACCCTGAATGAACAGGGTCTTGAAGACGTATCACAGAGTTTCAGAAAGTTATATACGGCTAGAATAAAGGGTTCTTAGATTCCTCCACACCTAAGTGACAAGTTTTATTCGCTGAAATAATATATGCAGAGTTTATCCTTATAGAATGCCTGCCGTCATTAGCCCAGTCGGGGCTGGTTCATTTTATTTCATTTCCTTGAAGAAAGGATAATTATTATAACAATAGCATATGGATTTTGATTTAATAACGATAGAATTACCCTGTTTTCTCATTACACGGGAATCAAATCAAAATCAACCTGCCCCACAAATTATGAAAGTTATTATGTAATGGAAATCTTAAATTCATGGAGATTTTCAAGCTGTAAAAGGAATGCAGGATAAGGCAGACATCACCGACAAGATAAACCCAGTTTCTGATTAAATGATGTAGATAAGAGATGACAAATCATTTCTACATTTAAATATAACTTAAATCAAATTGGGGTTGAAATGAAATGCGGTATAATGTCCTATCTTCCTGCATTAACCGAGCCAATGCAATTAGCTACAGCGATGTTTCCGTCTACTGGTCGTCGAATTCCATGTCAAGGGGGGGGGGGGAAATCACGTGGCTAAGTGGGTAAGGCGCTGGCTCGAGAAAGTTCATCCAGATTTTCCGGCGTGGTTTCCCCTTGTCAGTGATGCAGGACGGAGGGTCTGACAAGGACAGCTGTCTAGTCGTTCGGATGGGACAATTAACCGAGGTCCCGTGAACATATTGGCGTGCACGTAAAAGATCCCTTGGCAGTCGGAATTCGATATAAGAGTAGGCCGTATCGCCGCTGCCCGGGCCAAATTTCCCTCATAGCACACTGTATGGCGTATGCCCGTCTTCATTAGCCCAGTTTAGGAGAAAAACAGTAGGACGTTAAACCCCATTTCATTTCATTTCATTTCGTCTTACATTATGCATATTTCACATAACTGTCTGGTTATTTCCGACGTGACGTGTTTGAATCTCGAGAACATCATGTATTTGTACGGATTAACCCAGACCACTTGGATGTACTTGAAATACGTCATAATATCGACGTTCTATTGAAGTAACATTCTGACTAAATATTTTATTGCCAAAGCAGGTAATTTCGTTCCACTAATTAATTTTAGGAAAATAATTAAGAGTTAGAAAACAATGCGAATACCTTCTCTTTTCATTTGCTTGCCCCGGGGGCGGGGGTTTGAATATTTGTTATGATGATCTCTTCACGTTGATATCAAATAACATTTATATAAAAATAATCGTAATTCGCGCATAGTTTCGCTTGGCAGAACAAATCGACATAGCCAGCAAGCTTTTAATAGAACATTGATCCTTTCAGCATGATGAATTAAACTTAATTAAGTCATATGTACATCAAAATCAGTGGTTCGTGCCTTGTTTCTTTAAGCAAACGAAAATTGATTTTATGAAATGGGGTTATTACAGTGCGTTATGGCGGAAATTTCGCCCGGGTCCAACTGTCAAAGGTTCTTTGCGTGCACGTTGACGTGTACACGATACCTCGGCTTTTCGTCCAATTAGAACCAATATACTGCATTCCTTACCAGGCCATTCCTCCAGGGGGGGGAGGGGCTGGTGGTCTAGAGTGTCACGCTTTGACCTCTGGCTGGCCGGTCACCTCTGGCTTGCAGTTGTGGTTTCGATCCCTGGTGTGAGCGTATGTGACTTGGAGATAGGGGGCGCCTTCTCAACCTCGTGGGTTTACTCCGGGTACTCCGGGTTTCCTCCCACAGGAAAGACCCCTGCGCGTGCGCTAAGATAATGAAAAAAAAAGACAACTTGTCTGCGATATCACCTTTGGTGGAAGCGGACGTTAAACACTAAGAACAACAACAAGCCATTCCTCCACTGACATCGGGAAATCACACCGGGAAATTCCTAGGAACTTTCTCGGCCAATATCGGGATATAACACTGGACCTCCTGGTTAGTGAGTCAGCGCCTTATTCACTGGGCCACCATGGCGTGAAAGTAGGCAAACAGATACCAAAATTGTATAGGCCCTAAATCTGTTAGAAAGATTACAGATTACGTGCATATAACTGCAGGCTCGCTTAGAATATAATACCTTGGAAAAACGTTTCTAAATGTAATTAGTTATACACTATGACAAGCGGTGGACTAATCGTGGAATTTCTCCCAAAATCTAGTAATATGCAAGGTGTCAAAAGGAAAATTAAATTTCATACTTATACTTTAATATTTTAAATACAATTAGTGATTACGGGAGTGTTGACCCGAAGTGGAATCGCTATCACTCCAATGATTAAGTTTCAATTATGAAAGATGTTCAATATCTTATCACCGGGTGTGCAATTAATTTGAGAAATTATTATAGGGGTCCAAAGGACAGAAATTAGTTGCCAATAACAGATCCGTCGACAGTTCAGAAGTTCATCATAAGCTACAATATATTCAATCTATATTAGCTGCATATAGTTGATGATAACCAACTGATTGCCATTGTTCCCCGTGTCGTGTACAGCTAACGTTATTAAAATCATAATATAGTGGTGATGGAAAGATTTAGAAATCATTACTATCCAACCTAGTTAATAATCTCACAGTACATTATAGTCATCATTTCCTTACAAATTTCCATAATTTGTAAGAGCTTGACTTACATCAAAGCAGCCAATCCACAACTAAATTGTCAATCAGAAAATACATAATGGGCTTGTTTCCACATACTGGATTAAACACAGCCATTTTTGCAATAATTATTAATGATCTTGTTTTTTGCTTTTTTGGTTATAATTACTTTTGAAACCTTTTTTGGCAAATATATTCTAAGATCGTAGCAAGTGGTAATAGTCTTTTATCGGAGATCTTTCTTAGCAACAAGCGGTAACAGTCTTTTTCATCAGATCTGTCTTAAATTGCTACAAGCGGTAGTATTTTTTCTTAGATCGCCAAGTGGCAAAATAGAACAACTAAACTAAAATACGCGTTTTAATATGTAATTGTATTGAATGTCTCTGCAGTAATTGCCCCTACCATTTTCACAGACTCGATGACAATCACCACTGTAAGAAGTACCGGATTGAATGGCGCTTAAATACAATACGTCTGGCATTTTGAAATGAAATAAAATGTAATAGGGTTTAACGCCCTACTGTTCTGCTGGGACTGGGCTAATGAGGACGGGTGGTCATTTTGAAACAAAGTATATGTTTACATGTGTATTTGCATTTATACGCTTATCTGTATAATGGAAGGAAAAATAAAATTGTCATGTTACCTACTGTTCTGCTGGAACTGGGCTAATGAAGACGGACAGTCATTTTGAAACAAACACGTTTATTTGAATGTAAGGAAAATATCAGGATTGTCAGATGTGTTTCAAAGGTTGCATTCTAATTAAGTGTTTCGTGGAGATGAAACTAGGCGGCGACAGCATTTTATGATTAGGGTGGGTGTGTGAAGAAACAATGTTTCCTTTCTAAGAAATGGCTGACGAAATACGCATTCTTAAATATATCCCGTTGTTAATGCATGCCTATAATAATTTCTATTTTGAGCAGATCTTATATTATTTCATTTAAAAATTGGAAAATAAACTGCTTGATACGGGAAGCTGGATTCTAAATCTAGAAATAAACTAACTTCAGATTCTTTGAAATACAATTTAGAGACATCTAGAAATATTACCATTACAACCACCCACCCAGACAGTGTAAACCATCAAACACAGAGCAACAAACTACTTAAAGAAATTAACTTTTAAACTGATGGTTAGAAAGTACTGTCATATCTATTCAATTTCTATCTACTTGATATGAATTACTCGAACTTATTGCCCATTAAGAAATGAATGAAATTGGGTTTAACGACCTACGGTACCCATTAAGAACGACTGATGAAACAAAAACACGAAACTTAACACGCACTGCATATTTTCAATAAATGAACAAGAACAGACACAAAAACATTTGAGTCAGTTGAACAAATGGCCTGAATGTGCGTACCATATCCCACTCGGTGAAAACGGGAGTTAAGCTCCACGAACAAACGTGTACGTCGCAACTGCGTTTAATTTTAGGCATCGGATTCTTTCTTTCGCATCCCTGACATTTACTGTGAATCCAGTACCTCTCAACCCATAATATGCTATGTCCTAACATCAATGGAAACGGTTATTTATGGTCATTTGTCTGTTTATAGCGTGTTGAGCATCATTGGTCGTTTTGTCTTGAAGATACCCTACCCCCAAAACTATCTTCATCAGACAAATTGATCATTTGTTTCTTCATTACTTGTGAAATGAAGCATAAGATTTTGCAAGTATGGCTAAACTATCCTCTTGTCAAGGATCGTTATTCCGTAATTTCCCCATTTATGTAATTCCTAGACACAGGAAATCACGGCATTGTAATATGTTGAATTTATATTGCATGGAATGTCTAGTCGAATGTATTTATATTTCGCCTTACTTGTAATTTTATTCAGTATATTTACATATTGTGCTAGGTTTGATCACGTAGAAGAATTCATTGGCTTTAAACTAGTCCCATAGTAATTAATTACACATAGGGTTCTGTCCACATGAAAACGCACAGTCCCTAGATTATTATGGCTAGCGATGTGTCAACCATTACATACCTGTCGAACAGTCCATACATGGATCAAGAGACGTAGACTCACGAAAATTTGTACGAGGTTCATTTGGATACTCACGAAATGGTTTGGGGGTGGGGGGATCCCGAAAAGTGGCTTATCATCCGCATTTTCCGATCGGTCCACATATGTCGGCATATTCACGTATTAGAGACTCTTTGTGTCGATTAACTTTATAATGTGTATGGGGGGGGGGAACAAATATATATTTTCTAAAAGACCGGACTGTATGTGCAGTCGCTTGGGTGTTAACAACATTTCCTACCAATGGCACATATTCCAAATAATAAAGGAGCATAACCCAAATCCAAAACGTAGAAATTGCAGGGGTACAAAAAGTAACCATGTAAATATATACTTACTGTCGGCAGCAGTCTCGTCAAATAGCCACCACAGTTGCGAAATAAAAAACGGTGACCAACATACAAGATAAGCCGCAATAACAACAAATGTTAGTTTGATTGTCTTTAACTTAGCCCTTGAGAAACCTCTCACTGAATGAGTTCGGGGATGAGGAGTTCCGTTGTGTCTTCGATAACGCCTTGCAGTATCTTTCTCATTAGTATGCGTTGCTGTGTTGCAGGAGCTATAATTCTGTACTTCATAAACTAACTTACATTTAACTCCATTTTCTTCTCGTTTTGTGACGTTATTTTGAGTAAAACGATGTTTCCGCCATATTGTGTAACAAATTGAACCGTATGTGAACAATAAGATAAAGAACGGTATGATGTAAACAGCGAATGTAAACATCGTAATGTAAAGTTGTAATATCCACGGTGGGTCAAAGTGGACCCAGCAATCATAAACGTCGCTGTCGGCCCTTACTCGCTGATATTTAAACAGTACAGCTTGGGGTATACTCAAAATACCGGATATGAGATAAGCCCCAAGAACCATGACGTTAACAGTTCTTGTGGTCCACGTATGTGTTGACAATGGGTGACAGATGGCTAAATATCGGTCTATGGCTGTCATTACTAAAACGTAACTCGTAAGATACATCACAAATAGTTGCATGTATTTCACAAATCGACACAAAAAATCCCCGCCCTCAAAGCGGAATGAGATATCCCACATGAGTTGAGGTAACACATTAAAGAAAGCAACAAGTAAATCGGCTATACTCAGATGCATGATGAACATGTGCATCCGCGATCGCACCTTTTTGCCCCTAGCAAGCGCGAAGAGGACACACAGGTTGCCAAAAATAGCCAAGAATAGTACAACTGATTGAACAGCAATTTCTATTTTAGCCATGTCACTATCTCTTGTCGTATGATTATTATTTGTAGAGTTCGATTCCGACTGGGTTAACACATACATTGTCTCGTTATCCCCAGGTGATAAATGAATAATATTAATTTCCGCCATGGCTACTGTTTATGTCTAACCTGCAAAACAGAAAATTGAGATAATAAATAGTTTATATTAGCAGCACAAATTTAAACAAGACAGGTACAGATCGCATAATCTATATACATAAACAACATAGAAGCGTTGTTAAAGATGTGCCTTGAATTTTAACACAAAGATAAAAGTTATAAAATATCATATTTAAAGTGGTAGGGCGTGGGATTTTAGAATGGGACGTATGGATTGTTCATAGAAATAATTTAAACGTTGGTTTAAAAAGCATACATACAACAGGGCTTGGGATTTCATAATGGAGCGTATTGATCTTTCCATATAAATATTTTAAACGTTGGTATGAAAAATCAAATCTGTTGCCATCAGCAATGACAAAGCTCCCACTACCGTAAGTAGCTAGGGAATAAAACAAGCAAATACATTTTAATCAAAACTATGTACTAACTAGATCATGTTTGGGCGCACATTTTTGTTTGTGTGCGTGGGGTGGGGTGGGGGCAAAAACTGTTGAGAAACAGAGCCAGAGACCCTTAGCCCCTGTTTATTGATCTGGTCCGATTAGAACAAACGATTGAACAGCCATTTTAATCTAAAAACGCACATTTATTGCTCACATTCAACTATCGCATCTTTAAAGTGCAGTATTTCACTATGTGTTGTCTCAACAATAATATGTAGATTATCTAGCACCTACATATCTTCATGTTAAAGTTACAATTTCATATTTTCTAAGAAAGTCAAAACATAATTATTTGTATGTCTTTTGCTCAATAGGTTGTCAACTCACTATTATACGATCATAGGTGTCATTCTCACACTTAAAACTCATTTACACCGGAAATAATAACACAATTACCTCCCAATTACCTCTCTTGTTTTCTATTCTCCACCATGGAGTAGCTATCTTCAAACGTTGGAATTTGAAGATAAAAATGATATTTTTGCCAATTTCTCAACTGGCAATAGTGAATTATAGGATTAATAGGATTATTCTTTAACAAGGTAGGACTGTTTATAGATACCATCTATTTTAAGGCTTTATTTTAATAAATTTTAAAAATATAACTTAAAAATATGAAATTGCAACTTTAACGCTCTTCTAAGTTTTCAGAACAGTAGGACAATGAACCCCATTTCATTTCATTTCTTCTCAATTTGGGGGGTTGGATGGCTGAATTGTTAGCGTGCGCGCGCTGTATTATAAAGTCTGTCATTGAGTCGACTGGCGTGGTTTCGAATCCCCGGTTGTACGTGACAAGGAGTAGGGTCGCCTGTCCAACCTCGTGGGTTTTCTCCGGGTCCTCCGATTCCCCCCACTGCTAAAGACCCCTATGCGCAAGCGAATTATTGAAATAAAATAAAACCATATGTTAGTCCCGAAATGACCTAGTTTGTGTCGAGTGGACGTTAAACCCCATTTCTCTCTCCCTCTCTCTCTTCTCAGTTTTAATAACGATCGCTTAACCTTGCATTCCAAAGCCACGTTGCTGACTACATTCTCCAAACAAACATACAAAAACGAATGTACTTTGCAATAAGCCCCCCCCCCCCCTATATCTTTAATAAACTGAATTATGTCTTAAATTGGCGTGGCCTACCTTCTGTGGGGAGCATGGAAATATATACGGTCAGCACTGCACAACAGTATCCAAATAAATCATAAAATAAGGTTTAATAGCAAACTGATATTACAGATTTAATGGGACACAAAATAAGACTTGTATTCAAATAGGTTTTTCAAGTGTAAATTACGTGCTAACTTGCAATGAATCGTACCGTATTATAGGCGAGATATTCAAATGATTTATTGGTATTCACAACAATGTTTAAACATTATCTATAGATTATATTATTAGGTAGCATGTGTACAAATACTAAAGTGTAACTACACAGTTAACATGATCTATTGTGTGAACAGGTTGTAATTTCCATTACATTATTATTCATTTTTTCTACACCTGTCTTTTGAATATCATTACACTATGACCTAAAACGTACAGTTAAGCTGACTTCTTGCCGCAAGATATCGACATTATGTTGACCGAATCTTGTAGATTACAAGAGTGTCTAGTCCCACAATAGACACATACAAGGGACAGACTTGGAAAAAGTTATTGTTAGAGAAGTTATTGTTCTCGCGTAATTTATGGGCCCGTAGTTAAGTCGTTTGCGATGAATTGGTAAGCTAAGCTGTCTCTGTAAATACGGTACTCAGGACAAACTCCAGATAGCACTATTCCCTCGTCATCAGGAAGAGACCCACCCCTCTACCCCGCCCCCTTTTTAAAAGAGTTGCCCTCACGTCTGTAGTTTCCCCATTAGTCGTGTCAATAGTCCATACTCCCCTACAATTTACAAATAAAGGACCGTGTTTGAGTGTTGTCTAACCCATACATACCGAGCCGATGGCTCGTATTTTGTTTGGTGTATTTCATTTTTAAGTAGTTCACATTTCAAACTGATTCATTTATTTATTATTTCCCGTTTTCATTAGCCCAGTGGGAGCAGAACAGTAGGACGTTAAACCCCGTTTCATTTCAATTCATTTCACTTATCTATTAACATGTCTAAGTGTATATGCATGCATGCTGTCCTTCATGGACGTTTTAATGCAATAAACATCTTATCTATCTATCTATTAACAATTACAGAGGTTGGATTGAAATAAAAACCTACTATTAACTAACAATGATGTTGAATGTCAATGCACGATGTGTGTTGCCTATACCCTTCAATCTAAGCTAACGTGGTTTACTTTGCCACCAATAGTAAGAAAACTATTCATTCTTACCTTTAAACAGTAATTCATCCGTATTCCTTACGATAGGAACGACAGACTGATGGTAATGTTTATGATATGCAGCGTGGTGCTAGCTTAAATTATGTTATTTCAAGGGGGTCACTGTGGTTTGGAGATCAAGGCACTGGTGCACTAATGCAGGAGGTCCCGGGGTCGACCCCTGTGTTGGCATACAAATTTCTTCGGGATTTTCCTAAATTGGTTCCCCCTTATCATTGGTGCAGGATGGAGCGGATGGCAGTTGGAAATTGACGAGGAGAATGTTCAATATGGCATTTTCTAAAGTATTGTTTATTCAAAAATACCATATAAGAATTCAGTGTATTTTTGGTATAATATAATAATATTTTTCATTTGAGGCGTTCACATAGCTGATATTTTCGTTGTTTCACTTTTGTATTATCAACTGGATCTATGGTCTATTTATTATTATAGAAGGAACTTCTAAAACTAACAGGTTGTGCATTATTGGCAAATGGAAATGTGTACAACCGTTCTTCCATTTAGGTAAGCCGGAATCCACGATGCTAATACCGCCTTCATTAGCCTAGTCGGTAGAGAACAGAGGGACGTTAAACCCCATTTCATTTCATCATTCAAAACTGCTGATTAAAAAAAAAACAACCATTGCCTATTACAAATTATTCAGAAATTTACCCCATATGCGAAAGATTCATTTAAAACGAACAATCAACATTTTTTATATATTAAAGGGACTAAATCGCTAATATTTGGGACCTAGAAATTGACACAAATGGGTTGCAACGGGGTGTTCCCACTTAGCCGGCAGGCTTTGATGTCAAATTTTGCCGCTAATCCAGAGTTAATCCTAGAACAATGGTGTTATAAACTATAGTCCATATGTTTTTTAAGACTAAAACTGTATTGATTTTAACAAATTTAACTTTTATTAAATAACATTAAATAGCTTACACATATAAAAATATATTGATTTTAACAAATTTAATATTTATTAAATAACATTAAATGATTTACACATATAAAAATGCATATAACCATTGTGTATTAAATATCGGCCACCTCGATTATTGGAGATAAAGAGAATATTAACCTGAACGTTTGCCATTTTAAAATAAATATAATTTCGACACAGATCGACCATCTATTTCCATTAATATAGTGAATTGAATTCATGTTTGAAATCATAACGCCGGCATGAACTGTGTTCAAAATGTCATTAATTAGTTGGTTAATAAATTTTATAAAGAGGGATTAAGAGCTCATTTACCGCTGAACACTAGTGAACAGTTCTTGAGTGACTACTTTTAAACAGACTATAGTTTTAAGATCAATCAAAGGATTAACAGTCTGCCGGCTAAGTGGGAACACACCGTTGCAACGCATAGAGTAATGTAATATGAATGTATATAAACTGATTTACATTCAATCGTTTCTGTTATTACTGTAATTTCTAATCAATTATGTTCGGCAAAATACGCGAGAAGTCTCAGTCGAATGACACATGCTCTACAGATAAGAATATGCCGTCACCGGTTGACATGACTTGTGGAATATGTCTAACCTCCTTCTTCAAGTCCCTTGTTACAAATGGCGCCGAAACGCATTATGATACATGATTCGTGTACCAAGGGTAAAATGTTTATTTTGTCTTAAATATTGGATATCAGAAGCCCATCTTTTCCCAGTAAGATCACAACATCAATGTTAATTCAAATTGAAAAATAATTCGTGTTTTCAATGTCGATGACTTTGGATGATATTGAGTTAGAGACTTAGCTACTTTAAAAAGGTAAGTAGTCTTCAGTATATGAATAGGATGGGGATTTTGGTTTCTTTTTATAAAAGGTGAAATGGACGAAAGTTTTAAATCTTCTGGTACATGAAATAGATTATTTTTCTTGAAACCCCTTTGTGAAGCAAGAGAGAATTCCGCAAAACGCTTTTTAAATTTAGGTGGAGATAGTTCTTTCATTTGCAATCCAAATAAATTGATGTTTGCATCAAGGAACAGGTCCACTAAGATTTTTAAAATTCCATCAAGTAATTATTCCTTTTATCTCGTTCCATATGCCCTTATGAACCATCCTAATGAAACACCGTTGCCAGTGAAGGTACAATTTTTTTGCCCAGGTGATTTTTATTACATCCCTTTTAGCGCAATATAACCCATTGGTGCTGAGTGCAACCATTTCATTCATTCATTCCTGACGACACATTCCATTAGGAACCTAAACAAGGAGATATTCGAATTTAGATAATTCTCTTCCTAACTAATGACCACAATAGATTAATTGGCAATTGATTACACAGAGAAGCTTGTGGTTATTAAAAATGTTATATTTGGTTTATGTACAGCTTATTATTACCCAGATACACTTCTGTAATATTTCTGTAATAAAACGCACCCCCACCCCCAGTATTAAATAGATTAACTAACCATTGTCATGTACGTGGATTTCGATTCCCGTGGAGTATAATGGCAGATAATCCCATTATATTGGTACCATCCCTTTAGTTAAACAAGGTTTCGTTGACAGGAACAATAACATTGAATTCCTCTAGGGCCCATTCTGTGACTATTCGAGAAGGGAGTAATTTTTCTTTATACATTCGATTCGCGATTCTGAATGTGATTGAGACCCTCTTTTATCATTCCTTTTCCAATAGCATAATCCCTAGTATAGAGTGTTTACCTGAATTGTGAACCGACGGTTGTACATGGTTAACGATAAGGTGAACTAGACATATTTGGAGACGGATTAATATAAGCCTCATAGCTTGTTTCCGAATCCATATAGTTTATTATGTATTGTTAATATGTCATTATATGTTAAATAAATACTGTTTAAACCAAATAGACATATTTTGAGGAACAAATACAATATCCGTCATCAATAGCTAGGGGTTATTTCCTTAATATTTATTGGGGCGAATTAAGAATCTGTCAACCAATGTTTCCTCTGACACGGTTGGCTGTGTTCAATTATACATCAGGTATGTATTCAACAAACTAAGATATGATTTAATTAAATAGCGAACTGCCTTAAGTCGATTCCACTTCTGTAGAAACTATGATGTTTCCAACCCCATTCAAGCTTATTTAATCATAGAAAAATAGATAAATAGATCTTTACGAAACTTGTCGCAAGTTGTTCGATAATAAAAATTCAATATTTTAGCTGTGTCTTAGTTTATCGTTTTGAATTCTCTTTTTCTCTTGTCAAAGAAATATAAGGAATAATTGAATCGTGTCACGTAATTTAAGAACAAAGTTGTTAAAATAAATAAGGCCCCATGTTTACTTGAATTAAGTTTGGTATTAATCACAGAATCAGTCAAAATATGATAAACGATGTGTTTGTAAGAAAACAGAAACATTGATTAAATCAATATTGTTACTGGAAGCTGATAGGAAACTGACTACTGAATAAATAGATTGGGTGTTATGACACTTGTCACCTCTGATGACCTGTCATATTTTCGTCTGCATGTATCAACACAGTTTGTGCTTTTAAAAGGGAAGTTCCAGATTTCAGTTATCAACATTAAATGGGAGTTTATTTTGGAATGTTTCAGGAACCTAATTCTTTGCTATTTTGATTCGCCATTCATAAGGTAATGTCTGTAAATTAATATGGGATTCGGTGGTTTTCTTGTATAACTTGAAAATGGATGTAGGTCTTTAATATTCAACAAATAATCAGCAAACTTGTTTATTAAGGTGGGTATATAACCCAAGAAAGAGATCTCTTATGTAACCTTTTAGGATTTTCTTTTCAACAAGTTTACACAGCTAACAAATGTATCTTTCACTTTTGAATTAATCTAAGCTGGTCTATCCAAAATATGATAGCGTTTTTTCAAAATTTCTCAACGCCCATCCCCTTACAGGTGCCCTAGCACTAAAGATCATTGCAACGCCCTGAAGTTAATTTTGAAAAATATAAGCGA